ATCCTCTGCTAATTTTTCAACATTACAATGGGATATTGTTCCACCATGGTTTATCGGGCTTTACAGATATTTTAGGAAGAGGGTTGTTTCTTAGGATGTAGTTTCCGGCTCGGAATTTACAAAACTACCGTTGACAACGGCTAACTGTTACTGGATTCATAAAGCAAAATATGCCTAATATGCTCTTTGTCATTTAAGCTTTAAAGAAATAACAGTCAAAATCTCACTGCATTCTTCAAAACTCGCACTAAGTATAAGAACATAGTAAATTGCTACTTTATTCCATCCCCCTTCGAACTTTTATTTCACTCGAAAAAAACTATTATTTACAGAATAGCCCAATAAATATGGTTATCCTTAAACATCACTCAGTAATACTAAATTAATCCCTAATGATTGATTTAGTATTACTCTGCTAAACTAATCATAATCCATTAAAATTTGAAGCATTTTCTAATACCCAGAAAAAAGCTTCTTTTTCGAGGAAAAATATCATCCACAACTATCTTTTTGTGGGATTTACCTACTTTTATAAGACGTTCTTTATTTGCTACATATCTCGCACGACATGAATTATGAATAAAATCTTTCGCAGGGCGCACATGGGCGTGATGGATGGATCGAAACAAAGATCTTAGTACAGAGTTATGTAAAATTAAATGGGAATGAGGTAAGTATCATAGTTTCAGATTTTTGATGTAAGGCTGTCTTGGGCGTTGTCGTTTTCAGAAATGCGATATTAAATATGTAAGGAGATAATTTTGGCATAAAGGCCACAGGGAATTAGGAAAAGTTTTGAGTCAGGGTAAGACGTAATAACTTCTACTAATTAGAGCATTCATAATCAACAACAATGGATTCATTCGGTTTTGACGAAATCATCCATTTACTCATAAAAGACTATTTAAAGAGAATAATTTTAGGTGTAAGTTTAATGTGAAATGCTACATATGCAAGGTTTAATGCTCTTTAAATGCAATTTCTCACAAATTTTGGTAGTTTTAACAAGGTTACATAATGGAGTAAACTAACCTCAAGTATTTACTGAAAATTTAATTTTAGAAGCTTACTACATTAATTTTATTACCATCCAAAAGCCTTCAAATAAGTAAAATAAGTATTAGCTATCGAAATTTATCTCATTGAATATAATTTAAATTTCGATAGTTTTGCAAAAATTTATTTTATCGTTTTAAAAAAAGGAGGGATAGTTTAAGAAAATAAGATTCCTTTGCCTATTCAAGGCCAAAAGCTGTCTTCCATCTTCTCCCATAAACACACACACACACACACACACACACACACACATATATATATATATATATATATATATTGTTAAAAGTCAATGCAACATTAATCTGGATTAAGCATATTCACTTCCTTTTCTGTGGAAAGGAAGATTTATAGCTCTATTCTTAAGTCAGAAATAAATATAAAGTTCTATAATAGTACCTACCATACCTGGGAAGAGTTTCGAAGTCTGCTTGTAAGATGTAAGAGTATAAAAATGTCACCATAGTTCCACAAAAATAAGGGAGGGGGGGTAAATGAAGTATATGTGTTAGTATCCAAAGTTTAAAGGATTCACTTGCAAGATGAGTATCCAGAACGTATTTCCGTTTGTGTCTGTATAGAAAAATCATGAAGTACAATAACAAATGGACATAAGAGTTATGCATATGTACCTAGTGTTTCTTACATTTTTACATTAGTGTTTCTTACATTTTTACTCTAACGGAACCCTTGAAATAATATACGTCTCTTCAAAAGGCCTGAAATGAATAGTTACACATAATCAATCAAAAATTTCGATATGATTAGGCTGCTCACGACTATTTCTTGCGGTACACTTTGGAGTTTCTGGCAGAGCACTGGGTTTCGAGGGATCCCGGTTTTGAAAGTCTGGACTAGATTAAGTGTGGTAATGTTCATTTTGATTGAAAAATCGTGTATGTTGGGAAAAAAAATGCGATCAAAAAATTGCGTACTCTTGCTACTAGATTTTGCTGGAACACTGAATTAGCCATTTTTCAATATCAAAACTATATGGTATTTTTATCAAAAGACTTTGTTAATCATGTTGTTAATTGCTGCTGTTGCATTTTTGACACCAACTGTACTTTGATCTATAGAAATTTTTTTTAGGAAAAGGAATAAACCGCACTTTTTTTAAGAAATACATTTAACAATGCTGTTTGTTAACTGTTTTAAAAAAACATAAAATTCTATGAAAATGATGACCATCTGAAATTTCATGTCTACTTTGCACTGCCGCAAAGTAGATTATAAGATTATCAAAGTACTTTCAATGTTTTCTCCTAGTCATCAAGTATTCGGATGTGGCGTTATAACACAAGAGATCTTAAAATTTCATCCAGTATTCCATATATATGTTATAGTAACTATGGTCAAAGTGATTTATCCGGTGATTGTGGATAATCGCCAGTTATTATGCATAATTACTAGTCATTTTGGTGAGTTTGACAAATTTAACTAAATTTCTGTCGTTTATATGGATTTTACATAATTCCTAAACGAAGTTGGAAAGGCTAATAAATGTGCCAGAATTTCTCCCTTTTATCGTAGTCTAGATATTATCTGGAAATATAATTAATTAATTACAGTTTCGGCAAATATGCCCAAACACAGGTACATCTTATTTATTCACAATGTGAGAAATAAATTTATCAGGCTCGCCAGAATGATTGGTGATTCCGCATAATATCTGGCGGATCATATACAACCACCGAATTAGTTACTTTGATCATAACCTGTATAGTAAACATAGAATTGCGGAGCTATTATTTTTCCGATGAATATTTAGTATGTCAGACTGATGACTTATGTTTAGAAAGTCTCGAAAAACTATTTTCCAAGCTAAACAGGTTGGTTAATTGATGAAAGATTCCACCAGTGCCCAAGTGGTTGAAACCGCTGAATACTGGAATTTAGATCCGCGTTCGATTCAAGCCAATGGACTGGTTGCATGTTTCGTGCATGCTTCGAGGTTTTTCGCAAGTGTAACGTGAATACGAGTCAGTTTTCTTTAGAAAGTTCCCCATAATGACATCTCGCCTCTTATTTTCCATTTTCAAAATAACCCAATATAATTTATTAAAGGGAAGGATACCTTCAGGAAGAACTTTCTAAGGGGGAAACTAGTACACTTTTACGTTCATTATACATGGGAAAAACCCGCAAGAGCTCCATGCAGCCAACTTGCCAGTTAAAGGTCTTATTCCTGCAGCCACTAATGAGCCACTGTAATTTATGGGCGCTAGATAAATTTAATTTAAGCTTTTCAATGAGTTGTCCATTTAACTCTGCTTGTCCTTCCCCACAGCTGAAGTATTTTTTAAACGCTTACATGGCCGCTATAAAGTCCATGCTAGCAGTTGTTCTATTATTGGTCATAATAAATATTATCAATGGTAATTTGACCTTAGTAGTTTGAAGTAATCACATTCTTAAGTAACACTATGTTTTATTGTATGATGCTTTGAACCAATTGATATTTTGAATTTCGCAATTATCAGTGTGACTTCACATTCAAAATTATGCTTTTGAGAACTTAATTGTCTCAATTAAGTACGGCCCACCAGCGGCCGAGCGGTAAAGTCGCTGAACACCGGTAGTTTGGTCCGAGGTTCAAATCCCGCGAACGGCTGGCTGCATGGGTGTTTTCGTGGTTTTCCTCATGTGTAACGTGCATACGAGTCAGTTCCCCTTAGAAAGCCCTCCACGAAGGCATCCCTCCCCTCAGGCAGATAGGCCTCGAGGCTTTGCTGTAATTAAATAACCTAACCTCAATTAAGTACAGCAAACGTAAAAATACAGTAAAAATGCAGATATAATAATTTACCTTTTATTTAAATTTTTCATTTGGTATTCAGATGTCTACATATGGAGCAAAACTTATACGCATTAGGAAAATTCGAAACTAATTATATATTATATATATAATGTTGTATGATCTTAAATTCACTTAGTTCGAAAACAAGTTATTATTATACTTACGCAATAGTCGCAAAGTAATATAATAATAATTTATTTACTAAAGAAATATTGATTATATTATCCCCTAATATTAATTTTAGTAGAAGTACCTAAAAAGAATGAACCCATAGGTAGGAAATTTAATTCCGAAAATTGTTTTAAAGTAACTTGAATGTAAACTGTTAAAAATGTTTTACGAGGACTTGAAGTAAATCATGAAGAACAAAATTTCAAACTTTGAAAAAGAAATTAAATTAAAAGCAAGTAATTATTGCTATTGATCGGAAATTAGTTGACTTTTCAAGGGGAACAAACCAACTCCCGTTCAATGAAAAATAATTAATAAATACGAAGGTGTGACGTAAAACTCAAGTAATAATGGTGATGCCAAAATTAAGTTAGGCACAAAAGTGAAGGTACTTGCTTCACTGAACTTTTGGCCTAACTTAGTAGTGATATATATACTCATCTCCTGTCATCTCCAAAATCAGTTAAAATTACCAGTCGCATTCGAAATTTTTAAGCATCAAAACCTCGCAATATTTTTAGTTATAATTCCTGTGCTTCGGAACATGAAAAGTATAACAAGATGAGATCTCTGATGTTCGAATATGATAGCTGACAGGTTACAATACCTTCTTATGCTCTATTCGTGCATGCTTTCCCTACAGTTAAAAATACCTACTTTGAATAAGCTAAAATACCTCCAGTTATTGCCAATAATATATTTAGTAACTCATGGAAAAGGTACAATTATTAAATTTGACAATATGATAATAAAACACCTCGTTCTTAAAACTGTTAATATACATTGCCTAAGCATTATGAAAATATTAAAAGGAAAGAAAAGGTTTTTAATTTAATACAATCTAATTCAGTATTATAATTATGGTTTTGCTGCTTAGCAAATGTTAAGGAAACACTTCTTATAAAACTCGCGTAAAATATAAGTTTAAAATTACAAATGATAAACTAGGAAAAATGAGAGAATGTTTTTCACTTACCAAGGGAATTTCTGTTCTTTTTTCTTCTTCGACTTGCTAGCGATCTTTGTGACATGACTGCAGCGTGGACAGGTTTTGGTGTTAGAATCTTGATTAGCAAGAATCAAAAGTTTGTGGAATTTCTCTTTATCAGCTATACTTAGACGAGCTGAAATTTCATCTCTGTGTACGTATGAGCTGCATGATGTGTTGCAGCATTCTATTTTGACTTGGCCATCATCTATCTTAGATGAAAAATAAGACTGCAAGCAACTGGAACACGCAGAAAAACCGCAACAAGCTCGGTGGTATAGCCATTGACTTTCGTAGCATATCCCACATTCATCAAATTGCCAATCCCCAACCGGATAATGAGGAGATGGCTCATTAGGGCTCATGTCTTCCGGCAATAATTCGAGTACATCTCGCAGACCACGTGGGTGATCCCAGTTGACCATATCATGGTTTTCTAAAAGTCTCTCCAAGACAAGTCTCATTTCCGCAAGTTCTCGGACAATGTCCTCGGATGAAGGGAAATCAGATGGAATAACGTGCCTTGACTCAAATCGTGTCATGGTTGTAGAAAAACAGCGTTCAAAAGAATAATCTTCAGTATCTTTTTCGTATGTATTTGCCATCGAAGATGTGCCAGCATCTCTGAATGTAGAGGAAGCCTTAGGCTTTTGTGTACTCATTTTAGCCCAATAAACCTCTTCCTCGGTACTATTTACACTCCAGGTGTCTTCAGTTTTTTCTTTCTGCACAAATTCTTCAGGATCTGATTGAGGATGGTATCTGCCAAGCTGAGGTGGTACTGGGCCAGCTGAAACTACAAAGCAGTCCAACAGAAAATGGACATGATCCAGAGGCACTGGGCCATCAAGAGGAATTAACCAGTTCTTCATATAGGTATACTTGAAATGATAAGGTTTGTGCCTTGTGTTACGAGTTCCTTTAATGTAAAATGTCTTCTCAGGGACAGGTAATTGTACTGGCCAGCTCTTAATGTAGTTAGCAGAAGATTCAGAATTAAGAATTTCCAAAGGTAATTTTTCATTCGCAGAATTCGTCAACTTAGAAACTTCCATTCTTTAAATCCGAGCTCCAACGAATGCTGTAAACATAGCAACGAAAAGTATTTCTAATGTAAACATACAATGAGTACACTTCAGTGATATTCACCTATAATAAATGCGTTTTGTGCAAATGCTGATGTTTTTTTAATCTGAATAAATCGCACTTCGTTTCTATTTCCGTGTGAAATCAGATCATGTTTGCTCTTGATATATACCGAGCGATCTGTACTCATATAGACGATATTTCCGGAAGCGAGGTTTAATTCGAAGAAAGTATTTTTTTTTTTTTTTTATTTTAAATTACGCGAAGGAAGATTTGAGGGAATAAGCCGGAGGACACGGCAGTTCGGAGTTATCCGTGCATTCAAACGTCAGTCGGAAATGATTGTTAGGTAATAATATCAACAAAGAATTTCGTATTAATTCCGGTCTCTCAGCGCGACGTAAACATTGCACGATAGCCGTAGCTGTCAGAGAGCCATCGACTTATATTCCGAAACGGCTAGATCTCTGAACAGGTTTCCCTCTGTATTCCAAGGGTTACTGTCGAGAAGCGAAAGTCGCCAAGTGTTTGCCAGTTTGTCACTGAAATTGCGCCAAAGAAGATTTTTAAATGTGCATTGGTTTGAACAAAATACGTACATCGCAAAGAACAAGTGTAAGTTAGATAATTTTTTTGTTTGTATGTATGGATGGGTATTTGCATTTTCAGGGCTTAATTTCAAAACTCAGAAGTGCCGGAGCCCATGTTAAACCGTTAGGAATGATCCATAAAAACTAGTATAATAATAATTAAAACACTAAGTTACTAGATATTAAAATTAAATAACATACAAAATGCATCATTAATTTCTATTAAATAAATTATAAATATATAAATAATCAATTAAATAAGTAATAACTATATTATAAAAATTAAATCAGTCGTGAAACAAATGTGATATGAGATAATTAATACTACGATAGGTTACAAAAGTTAAAATATAAGTAGATACTTTAAATAATAAATTTCATTTCTTTTCGTAATTAACATTTATACTTTTAATTCAATTAATCAAATACTGATCTTCATATCTGAATAAAAATATTTATCTTAAATAATTTTTCTATCGAAACGCAAAAAACTAATAGCTACATATTTAAGCAAATTTTTTAATTTTATCTGCTTTCATACCTGCTATATTTTGAACATTGAATTTTATTCAGAAAACTAATGGTGTGGTGTGTGTGTATTTAATTACGGCAAAGCACACTAGGGCTATCTGCCTAAGGGGAGGGATGCCTTCGTGGTTTTACTGACGTATGTGTGCGATTATGGCACAAAGCCTCGAGGGCTATCTGCCTAAGGGGAGAGATGCCTTCGTGGAGGACTTTCTAAGGGAACCTGGCTCGTATACACGTTACACATGGGGAAAACCACGAAAACACCCATGCAGCCAGCCCGTTCGCGGGAATCGAACCTCGGACCGAACTACCAGTGTTCAGCGAATGGACCGCTCGGCCGCTGGTGGGCCTTCAGAAAAACTATTTGGAAGCTTTCAGATATTGTATTACGCGCAAACGGGCGGTTTTTTTTTTTTTGCGGGGGGGTCATTTACAGACACATACATGTTTCGAGAGCATTTGGGCTAAAGCCACATTCTGCTAAAATTTTTTATAAGAACAGCATATCTTTAGAATTTTCGATAGACAGTCTGGCGCGCTGGAGATCAAAATGTTTTATTCCCTACAGTGTTGCCACGGCTCACTTTGAATTCGCTGAGTTTTTTAATCATACATTCGTTTAAGTGCAACAAATTATGAAATAGACAATAAAACAAATTCGAAATTCGGACTCCCAAGTGCCCATGATCGGATGGAGGACTACGTTTTTCAAAATTTGATGATTCCAGGTACCGTTGTTTTTTCACACATTCATGTAGGTTCTTCATTATTTAGTTTCTTTAAATATAATACAGAGCGATAATATTTGGTGGCAACAATTTTAAAAGCGATACAGCCGCTTACATTGATTTCGAAGCAAAAAGCAGTTTCGAGACTTCACCCTTCTGGAACAAAATGTCCTTCTGGAATAATGCCATTTGGGGTAAAAAATACCGAAGATTAATCTATGTTCCTAAAATTTAAGCTTTTTTTTTTTTTTTTTTTTTTTTTTTTTTTTTTCTTTCTTTTATTAAGAACTGTTGCTAAAAGATAAAATAACGCTTAAATATTCTATTATCTTATTTTTGCGCGAAATTCTCTTAAAAAACTCTTTAAAAATTATATTTCGATGACATTTAAACTGATATATTTAACATAAATACGCACTAAGCACATTTTTAATTTACCGTAAGACAAATTGTCTGAGGCTGATTTTTTTGCATAATTTAATAATAAGATCGTGTAACGTGCATAAAGATTCGTATATCTCCTCACTAGGATTAGCAAAAATATATCTCCGACAATTTGGAATTTAAAGTTTTGTCAACTTCAGTTTTATGATAACTGACTTAGTTCTTAATGTTACTTATGGTATTGAAATTCAATTTTTAACTTTGCTTAAAAGGTTTAAAATATGCAGAAATTTAAAAGATAATAACAAAGTTTATACAGAACGTGAGTTTTAATTTTAATGCACTGTACTAGCTTCTTACTTAAGCAAAAGTAATTAAGCTTCTAATCTTTTAATTATGAATACCAGAAAAACGATATATAAATATAACGTATATGGAAATAAATGTAATTACTTATGCCTACATGGGAAAAACATGGAAATTTTAAAAATATAAAAATTCGGGTTTTCTGATAAATTGATTCCCGGTTTGTCAAACTGAATTGCTAACAAGTTTTAAATTACTGAAGTCCAATTGCATCAATGAATTTGATTATTCAGTGTTTTCATTTGCTATTGTTTTTAAAGTTAAAAAAAAAAAATCGAAAATATAACACTTGCATCATTTGTTAGGAAATATATCACACAGTAATACTTCTTCCAGAAAAGCAAAACGAATTTTGAATTTATAACATACCTTTATCGGAACAATTTTTTGTATTCCGCCAATTGATTTTAATTGATCTTTTTCAGCGCATAAATCAAAGGAAGTTTAATTATATAAATATGCGTAACTGTTTAAATAAATTGATATAAATGACATTTTCGAGCTTCATATTTTTTTAAGTACTAAAAAAAGTAAGAGAAATTATACTAATTAAAACGTAGAAATACAAAAGGTAATGAAAATGTATATTACATTATGTGAATATTAATGCTAATGTAGTGTATTTTTTCTCACACGTTCTAGAGTCTAAATCTTTTTGGGAGCATTCACAGTAGACCCTACGCAGAAGACTAAGTTGCTAATTCGCTAATTCTCGCTTTGTCTTTGAAGAACGCTTTACCCGTAGATTTAGAATTTTTTGAGAAATTGTGTTATAATTATTTATAACAAATTGTTGGAATTTATTTAAGCCATTTAACAGTTAATTTTATTGTAAAGCAATTTGCTTATTACTATCGCTTTCAACCCATGCTTTCTTGCCAGAATGCAAATGAGGTAACGGTCGTATATTCTAATAGGGTAGGAAAAAGTTAGTATTTAAGGGAAGGTTCTAGAAGGTGAATTTAAAGCGAGAGAGCGTGAGTATTCTGCCTGGCTAAAGGCCGCCTTGATATCTTTGATTAACTAGCGATTACATTTCTGTCGCGTTGAGTGCTTTTAGCCATTAAGCTTGTTTATGCCGACTTTCATGAGTCAGAGCCTACCTGCGCGTTAAGTGGCCTGTGAAAAGTCGTTAGGCTAGCTTAACTCTATTCTGTTTTAAGTTACTTATTACCTTTTGAGTTAAGCTTTTGTAAGCACGAGTCAGTGCCATCTGTGAATATTATTGAGTTACTAAAGGGTCCTTTACTCCTTTTTCCTGGACTTCGTGATACTTAAGACTTAGGATAATTCCTTACTATTGATCCAGTGTATTGGCGTCTAGTTAGCTTATGCAAGCAAAGAATACTAAATGTTACAGCATCTTTAGGTGACCATATTTTAAAACATTAAAGAATGGGTTTATTTTCGCGTCCATACAAAGATTTGCAGCAATAAAGAATGGTTTAGATATTACTATAAAGTACTGTGTCAAAAATAATTACGTATAATTTGAGTTTGATATAAAACGTCTTTGAAATTAATTTAGAGGTATATTGAATCTTTACTATAAGTAAATGATATTAAAAGAAGAGTGTACACGAATCTGTGATAACAATTATGGATGATAAAACTACATTTTGATATTTATCACTAAATGAATATCCTATTTCCAAAGTCTTTCCTTTTTTTTGGAGCTTTATTTGTATAATGTTCTTAAGATCTGTATTCACAATATATATCACGCATATACAATATTAAGAATTACTTATATTCCTCTGATGTGTGCATATGATCTTACGCTCAGCACATCTATCCAATAATGCGAAATTCCCGAGGTCGACTGCGTTTAAGAGAATGGTGAAATTTTCAAAAAGTAGTTTCTTTCAAACACCCCCAGAACTGACGCGGAATTTAAATGGTGGGCGTCATATTCCTCACCATATTTAGACTTGTCGACTACGAATTTTACCCCTTCTTCATCAGTCGACATTAGATTAAGTCTAGTGCAAGGAACTAAAGACATTCCTCCCATGAGTTTCATATTAGTCACCATATTTAGATTTGTCGATTTAAAATTTTCCTCTGTCTTCTTCAGTCGCCATTAGATAAAAAACAATGTAAGGAATTAAAGACATTCCTCCCACAGGCGTCATATTCATTACCATGTTTAGACTTGCCGACTAGGAATTTTCCGCCATCTTCCTCAGTCACCATTAGATTAAGAACAATGTAAGGAATTAAAGGCATTTCTCCCATGTTCTCTTGTAGTCCGCACATCGACATGGTAATAAGACGATTCTGGTTAATAACTGCAGGCAGTGATTAGTTTCACTTCTTATGATACGTAAGAATAGTTTCTTCACAATGTAAGTACATTTTTATTTTCCTATAATAGAAGCTTTAAGAACCCCGGCGAATGTGCTGGGTGCACGGGTTGTTTTTTTCATATGTTATATAAATACCAGGCAGTTTCGCTTAGAACCCCTCCGTCATGAAAGTATTTCTTCCTTTTGGTAGTATTCAAATGAATAAACAAACGAGTAAACAGAAATTTTAAGTCTTATAGCACACAATGCTGTTTACAATGCAGCAAAATCACTTTTATTAAGAATTCCTACGTTAAAAATTGTAACTGATATCTACTTACAGTGTAAACTAAATAATTCACACCGAAATCGTCAACTAAAATTATAGATTTACAGTGTATTCATTATCGTTTCTGAAAAAAAAAAATCTACTTTGGAAGCCTCCTAAATCTTTTCAGTGACCCAGTAATGAAACACACTTCCCAAAACAGAAATCTAGAGGTAAACCTGATTCTACTCTTCGAACTTCCAACCTATAGTATCCCAGAGAGGCGGGGGGGGGGGGGG